AGCCAGTGAGCGGGAACCGGTCTGTATGTGGGCTCCGACCCCTCGGCGGGAGCGCCACCGCGCTCCCAAGCGGCGCACTGTAGCAGTGCGCCACCGGGCCGGCCCGGAAATTCTATTCTGTTTCTAATGTTTTCCCTTCCTATACACCCCAAGGTTATGTAACTATTCTTTCAAAAATTCTTCTAATATCCGTAGTGAGTTTTTCCTCCTTACATCTTTAATCCATTTGATTTAACTTTGAAGATATATTTTGAAATTTAAAAAACCTCTGATTTAAATTTGAAACTGTACATGTTAATAGTTATGATAAGTAAACTTTTAGCTTCTAAGGATGCATGAACACAGATATGTACCTGTGTGTATCTTTTTTGATGTAATTTTATACATATGTCTGGTGTTTACGTACGAAACATTTGGCAATCCTATACAGATGCTCTTCAACTTACAATGGGGTTACATTCTGATAAATCCATCGTAAACTGAAAATATCATTAAGTCAAAGATGCAGATGCATTTAATCTAATACACCAAACATCATAGCTTAGCCGACTTAAACTTGCTCAGAACACTTGCATTAGCCTACAATTGGGCAAAATCACCTAACACAAAGCCTATTTTACTATAGTTTTGAATATTCTCATGTAATTATTGAATACTGTGCTGAAAGTGAAAAATGGAATGGTAGTATGGGTACACGAAGTACAGTTTCCACTGAATGTGTGCACTGCTTTTGCACCATCATAAAGTTGAAGAATCGTAAATCAAACCATCCTAATAGTAATGTAAGTGTTCTGAGCATGTTTAAAGTAGTCTAGGATAAGCAGTGATGCTTGATAGGTCAGGTGTATTGAATGCATTTTTGATTTATGGTATTTTCAATTTACCAGTTTATCGGGATGTAACCCCATCATAAGTTGAGGAGCATCTGTAATGCTAAAGGTATTTACATAGGGAGAAAAAGCCATTTGCTTCCCAAAGTGTGATAATGTTAACATAGGACAGGATAATGGCTTTATGGTTGCTTATTTTGATTTTGTACTTTTGCTTATAGCTGAATAGAGTTTTCAAATTTGGCCCTTTTAAAAATAGACTTCCTTAGTAGAAATTGGTAATGGTTGTACAATATTGTAAGTGTACTTAATACCATCAAATTATACACTTTAAAATGGTTAAAATGGTAAATTTTATGTGAATGTGTATTTTACCACGATTAAAAAAGAAAAGAATCCCTTAAAACTTTGAAATTTACTTATCTATGTATACATTTCATGTGTCTGTTACGCGTATAACTAAATCTATAATATTCTTTTCTAGGAAGTTTTTTGTTTGTGTGTTTATGTACAGTTGCTACGAACATGTCTGAATATAGTTATATAAATATAACAAAACATTATAAATGATTCATTTTCAAACATTTTGTTTGAATAATGTAATTTAGGTAGCTTTTTTTTGCACTGCCACCTTTTATGTTAATAATGAAAATTTTCTCTATTTTAGCTTAAGAAAATTCGCTCACTCCTTGTTGCTGGAGCTGCACAATATGATTGCTTTTTCCAACACTTACGCTTGTTGGATGGAGCACTTAAACTTTCAGCTAAGGATCTTAGATCCCAGGTGGTTAGAGAAGCTTGCATTACTGTAGCGTAAGTATATCCCTTTTGTGATAAGTGTTTTTTATGAATTAATTTAGTGATCATTGATTTAATGTTCATTAAGTAAAGCAGTAGTAGCAGGATAACTCCAAAAAAGCATATATATGATCCAAAAGTGATTTTTATTATACATAAAGATTTAATTTGAATGATTTTTTAAAAAATCTTTCTTAACATCTCTTTATTCCGGGCTGGCCCGGTGGCACACTGCTACAGTGCGCCGTTTGGGAGCATGGCGGCGCTCCCGCCGAGGGTTCGGATCCCACATACAGACCGGTTCCCGCTCACTGGCTGAGCGAGGTGCGGGTGCAACACTGAGGGTTGCGATCCCGTTGCCGGTCCCGGTCCAGTACGGGCGCGACACTGAGGGTTGCGATCCGTTGCCGGACACGAAAAAAGACAAAAAGGGAAGGAAAAAAAAAAAAATCTCTTTATTCCAACCATAAAATTTGTGTTTATATGTCTAAAGCCTACTGTTGGATTTTTGGTCATTAACTCTATGAGGATAAGAAGAGAAGGAATCAGTCTAGAGACTAGCTATATTCACTTTTCTCATCACTAATCTGTATATTAAGCACTCTATTTCTGATATTTTAGCAATTATACTGAAATTGCAGTATGTATCATTAGCTTATCAAAATCTAAACTTATTCTGTACATTTATAGTCTTCCACAATACAAAGATAGTAGGACACTTAAATTCCACTCACAACTACTCCTAACCTTCATACAGTTTTTAGGTATGTTGTTGTATAAGCATTCCTTTGAAGATGGGGAACACAAAGATGCTTACTATCAATATTTCTAATCAGGATCGTACTAGATTTTCTATTCAGAACAGGGAGGAAAAAAAGGTATTAAAAACTATGAGGATTGCAAGAAAAGGAACAGAACTGCCATTGTTAATAGGTGATATAATTACCCATGCAGAAAACTACAAGAGAATTTAGAGATAAATTATTATAATTAAGGGACTTTAGCAAGGCTGCTAGATACAAGTCAATATACCAAAATGATCGAATATCTCTAAATAGCAAAAAAAACCAAAAACAAAACAAGCATCCACAAAACGTAACCTCCAAAAATTAACTTAAAACAGGTCTAGCCCTCTTGGAGAAAAATGGACAAAATATTTAAAATAACTCTTGTCAGATAATGACATTGGACAGGGCAGGACTGGGATTCTTGAAAGACACAAATAAGTTGAGCAGTATGGTCAGCACAGTTTTTACCTGGAGGCATTTTCTAGAACATGGGAAAGAGAGGGGAAATCTAAGCAGAGCAAGTTGAGGACTGAGTTGAAGACAGAGACTGGAGTTCTTTGGAAAGCTGAGATGACCAAAATTTGCAGTGCAGAGTACTGGAGAGAAGAGAGATACACAGAAAAAGAGCACTAAATACTGATCTGTGCATGTGAAAGATACAACTCCCTGAGGAGGGGAAAGAACTAGTGTCTGGGAGCTCATATAGGGCTAGGAGAGGTTCAAGATCTGTCCAGCCAGAAGTGAGAAACTTTGTTGAACACCCAGGGCATTCAGCAGAGACCCCAGAAAGGCCATAACATAGGAATAGCACTACACTAGCTCTAAAGTAAGGCTACTGTAGACCCTGCCTCTAATGATCTAGCTGATTTCCAAGTACATTTCTTGCCTACCAGAACAAAACTCACACTCTTTAAAGGAAGGCAACAACATCCAGACACGGGGGATACCTCCCTGCTTTTCATTTTAGGTTCCTTTTTGCCTGTAACTCTAGACATTGGAAAACTGACAGAACTAAACACTAGTAAATAGGTCTGAGTTTCAGTACCTCTTTGAAATAAGAACCTGAATTTTTGGACCAAAAATGGGTATTTTCACTAAGATATAAATGTATAGAAATTAACCAATGATGAAAGTATTGTTAGAACTGTGAGTGATTACAGCATTCTTCCTAAGTGTTTTAACTAAAATCATACAATTAAAGGCTGAATTAGTTGTTTAACTACAAATTTGGAGAGAGAAGACACTTGTCCTTAAGACCACCCAACTAACTAGCATACGAGGGTACTTCAAAAAGTTTGTGGAAAATAGAATTAAAAGATAAATCTTTCTATGACCTTTTTGAAGTACTCTCATATGGTAGATTTGTATTTTCAATCATGGATTCTGAAATCCTACCCCAAAGATGTCAGAGAGTATTTATGACTAAAAAAGTGGTGGCACCATTAGTAGCCAAAGAGAATGTCTTAAGAAGCATTGATGTGGGTTAAGGTTTTGAAATTACTTGTAAAAAGACTGATATTGGGGCAGAAAAATGGAAATATCTGATGGATAAAGACTAAAGATTTGAGCAATCAGAGCTAATTGTTTTACCTTAGAGTTAATAGTTAAATTCTGAGATCAAGATGAGTTCTCCAAGTGCCATTGCAAAGAAATGAGTAAAACGTCAGATTTCAACTTTGGACTAGCCAGCTAAAGGATGAGAGAAAGAAGAGAATATATAGTATTTGCACTCCCCTTTCTCTCTTTTGTTGTTCTGCCATTAGAACTGATTAAAGTAAAAATCCCTAAGTTAATTCAATAAAAGAATATTTTAGAATTATATGCTCCTATCTGTATTTAATGTTAAACTATTAAAAAAACACTTTTCATTTTCCTTTATAGTCATCTTTCAACAGTTTTGGGAAACAAGTTTGATCATGGTGCTGAAGCCATTGTACCTACGCTTTTTAATCTTGTCCCAAATAGTGCAAAAGTCATGGCAACCTCTGGATGTGCAGCAATCAGATTCATCATTCGGGTAGGTTCTTCTTTCTTCTCTTTCTCCCCTTTTTCTCTCCCTCCTCCCCTTCTTCCTCACCCTTCCCCTCCTCTCCCCTCTCTGTCTCACTCTCCCTCTCTCTCATTCTCAATGCACTTAAATAAGTCATTGGAGTGTTTTTTTAACCCCAAAGGAAAATCACTTTTTGAATTACTTTTGAATTATTATTCCAATAGTGAAAGCAATATATGGTCATTATAGTCATTTTGGAACATGTAAATAATACAGAGGATTACAAAGTAAACATGCTTATATGCAGAATATAATATATATGCCGTACATATGAGTACATGCAAGAGTACTTCAAAAAGTTGGTAAAAAAGATACAATTGAAAGATAATACAAATTTTCCAAAGAACTTTTTGAAGTACGCTTGTCTATATGTATGTACATGTACATTTGTGTGTGTGATAACAAATATTATAGTCAGCGATAAAAGATGATAGGCAAATTTTTAATATTTCTCTTAATCTGTATCTTGAGGATACCCAAAAGGACAGAGTTAAAAATAAGTCTCTTTCCTTGAATTGTACTCTTCTATAACTAATCACTCTAGCCATTTAGTGTATACTTTTCCAAACTTTTATTCTGTGCCTATACAAACATATTTTCTACACAAATAGAAAATGTAAATATATTATGTAAGTATACATGTAAATATATATACACACAAGGAGTCTTCAAAAAGTTCGTGGAAAAATTCATATTATCCAATATTACTAGGTTTTATTTGATTTGTTTCATTCCATTCAGATCTAAGTCTAAGTGGCCATACCCATACGAGGTGCTGCTTCTTTCCTTTAAACTTAATTACAAATACCTGAGCCTATCAAGCTTCTGTGTGGCCACCCTTTCATCTTTTTCCTGAGTCATTTGGTTCACCTAAAAGAATTTACTAAGCGTCTCATTAATCTAAGCAGGAAGAAAATATGCATAGTTCCTCTACCTTTTAGGAAAAGTGAATATGTTAAAAGTTGAGACCATCCGAACTTTTTTCTTATAAAATTTTTTCATTACTTCCGAAATACAGTAACTTTATTGTATATTTCAATGTTAAATGCTCCATATGCATTTTGTTCCTGCATAGAATATTCCTTTAATATTTGTGGGGTTGCAGACAAGAACAGAAGTGATACCGATATACCAAAATTGTACATCTTTGAAAGTAATGTATAAATTAAGAAATGTGTTCAGTAAGTTATATTCTATTATCCTACTTTGAATATATAATTATGGGAAAAAAACCACTCTAGTTTCAAAGCTGGCAACACATTAAACCACCAAATTTAATCATTATTGAGCATATTTGGGGATGTTATTTTTGGCATCACAGTATTTGGGTGGTTCATAATTTAAAGAAAAATATATTTTCTAAATTATTAAATATTTTTGCAAATAAAATTCATATTATCCTTTAATTCCATTTTTCCACAAACTTTTTGAAGTACCCTTGCATATACATATAAAATATGTTCTTTAACTTGTACTTGGGCATGTACTTGGGCAGCTTCCCTTGTCCATACATGTAATTCTTTTTAATGTCTAAGCCAGTCCTCTATTAAAGGATATAGTATCAAATTGTCCTCACCATTGTTCTTCCTGGAGCCCCTTTTCTCTGTCCCTTTGCCAATACTGTCTATTATCAGTCTCTTTAAGATCTTACAGTTAATAAATGGAATATTATTTCATATTCTATTTTATATTTCCTAGGTTATTAGGGGTTGTTAGTTCTTTTTTCCTTTTATAATTCTATGAATTGCTGATTTATGCTCTGCATTTTTTCCTCACTTATTTCTAAGACCTTTTTATATATCATAAGGATAATAATACTGTGTTATATATGTTGCAGTATTTTCTTACAGTCTGTCATTTCTTCAAATAATGTTTAAGCTATTTTTTTATATATCGAAGTTTTAAATTTTTATGTGTTGAGACATTGCTCCTTTTGTGGTTTTTGTTATAGTTAAAAAAAAAATAGTTAAAAGCTTATGAGTTTCTTTCAAATATTGCTTTACCAAAAACTGTTCTTTTTCAGCAGTAAAACCTAATGCCTATTAAAAATCTATGAATCTATGAAGATGGGGTACTTTTTTTCTATTTGAACATTTTTTAAGGTTTTCTATAGCCTAGAACCTTCATAACAGTGTTGGAAAGTACTGAGAATTAATGAGATCTTTCTTTTATCCCTGACTTTAGTGGGATCATATTTAACTTTAATTAGATATGCTATTTGTGATAGGTTTTTATGGATACACTGTATTATATTATGGATATTTCCTCCTATTTATATTTTGCTAAATTTTGATCAGGAATAGATGGTGAATTTTATTAAATATCCTTTTAATATCTTTAGAAATGATAATCTCTGGTTTTTCATTTATTCATTGTACACTCAGGAACTAAATTCTGCTTAGCCATTATACATAATGATACTGCTAGATTCAGGTGGTTATTATTTTAGTTAAGATTTTGGCATTCATTTCAATGAACAAATCTTTTTTTTTGTCATGTAGTTGATTGTACATGTCTGTGGGGTACAGAGTTGAATATCAGTACCTGTGTGCAATATGTGATGCTCAAATCAGGATAATTAGTATATTCAGCATTATACATGTAATCATTTTTTATGGCCCTTAACCAATTACTCCCTTACTCCCGCCACCCCACCAACCTCCCCCTTTCCCACCTCTGGTAACCTCAGTTCTGTTCTCTCCTTTTGAAAGTTCAACGTATCATTGTGTTATTGTGGTTGTTGTATCTTTCTTTTTTTAAAAAGAAATTATTTGTTTGTTTTTTTAGCTCCAACTTATGAGTGAGGACATTTGGTAGTTCTCTTTCTGTGCCCAGCTTATTTCACTTAACATGATTTTCTCTAAGTCAATCCCTGTTGCTGCAAATGGCAGAATTTCATTCTTTTTTATGGCAGAATTGTATTCCACTGTGTGTATATACCACATTTTCCTTATCCAGTTGTCTGATGATGGACATCTAGGTTGTGAACAAGTCTTTGGTGAAATTTTTTGTATTTTGCCTGTTTTGCAAATTTTGTTATTATATTATTCTGTTATTAGAGTTTGATAACATCTGAAATTATCTCAATGTTTTAGACTCTGGGCATCTTGAATCTCTTGAAATGCTGGTTATTTGTATTTTCTTAGAATATCAATTTTACATAGATTTTAAGAATCTTTGGCATAAGGTTGCATGTTATATTCTCTTCATTTAAAAGTCTCTATCAATGTGGTTATATAACCATTTTTTCTTATTATAATTTTATACATCCTTTTTTATATATACTTGGCAGATACAGTATTATGGGTCCTTTACAAGCTTAAATTTTTAGTTTTATTGGTTCTTATTGGTTTTTAGTTTTATTGGTGAGGTTATTGAATTTTTTTTCTAACTCTTTAGTTTCTGTATTTAAAGTTTCTTTTTTCTTTTTTCCTTTTCTAGATTTTTGTGGTATATTCTAAATTTTGTGTTATAATTCGTCATAGTTTTTTCTTATTTAATATTATAAGGTTATAAGTTTTCTTCTGCGTTTGGCATTGGCAGCATCCCAGTGATTTATGTGTATCACATTCTCTTTGATTTATATTTCTCAATCATTTGTAATTTCCATTTCAATTTTCTCTTTGAATTACATAATAATGTTTTCATTTTTCAGATAGTTCTTTTGTTCTCATTGTCATTATTTTCTCCTTTTCTGACATATTGATCAGAGAATTTGGTTATATGATTTCTTCTTTAGTGAATGACTTGAAATTTTATGTGTCATAGTACCTCATCAGTTTATATATGTAGTTCATTAGAATTTGCAAAATATGGAATTCTTTGACAGAATATAAAGTACTTGTGCATCACTAAGTGTAGCTTACGTTTTATTTATGTTATTCAAATTCTTTCTGGTCTTTTCTTTTCTCTTTTTCCAGCTGGCCAATACAAGCATTGAACCATTGACCTTGGTGTTATACCATCATCCTCTAACCAACTGAACTAACCAGTCAGCCCCCTTATTTTTTTTTTTCAATCTACTTTATTTGTCAAATTCTGATTCTCATTTTGTCAATTTCACTTTCCTAACAGTTCTTACTTTATGTACTTTATGTATGCTCAAATTTTTTGACTATTATCATCTTGCCATAGTAATTTTTTTTCTCTCTTTTCTGTTTTCTATTCATATGCTTCTTACTTGTTTCTTTTTTCTTTTCTCCCTTTTTGTAATTTAGAAGTTTCTTACTCTTTGTCAGTATCAAGAATAAAACCTTTGCTTTACTCATATCCACCTTTTATTTTTACACTTTTTCCTGCCTTTTAAAAAGTGTACATTTTACCTCATTCATGTGATTTTTTCCCTTTAACCATTGAGTTAAATTTACAAAAGATATTTTCATTTTCAGCAATTAAAATTTCTGTTTTTTTTTTTTTTTTTTGCTTTTATTCCTGACCAGGATTTATTGGATACTCTTACTTCCCACTTTTTAATTGTTTCTGGGTCGTTCGTGTTTGCGTTTTCTCAATTTTTAATGCACATTTTTATCTTTGTATATTTTGAAATGGCTTTTCTTTGGCCTTACACAAGGACTGAGAATTTGACTGTTGAACTTTAAGTTCACTTTTCTTTTTCCTCAGAATTGTTTTCTTGTTTGTTGTTGTCTCTAAAAAGTAAGATATCATTTGATTCTTTTATAGCAAAACAACAACAAAACAACCTTTAGGAAGATAGTCCCTTTGCATGAAGAATTCCCCCACAGCAGGTCTAGGAATAGATTGTTTTTTATTAGTACTATCTTTATACAATAGACAAGGATTTCTTACTAAAATGAATTTTCTTTAGACTTATGTTAATTTTCATGGATCATTTCTTTATTTAGTGCTTCTGTCTTATTTTCCCAGGTTTTTTTCCTTCTTACTCTTGTTATACAGATTCTGAGATCCTCAATGTCATTTATCATTTCTTAAACAATTTTTCGTCTTTTTATCTTACATCTATGTATATTCTCAGGAAAATTGGTACCCATTTTGCTGTTCTCAGGCTTTACATTTTATTGTTCTTTTGGGGGTGGGTGGGCTGGCTGGTAAGGAGATCTGAGCTCTTTTTTTGTTTTTTTGTTTTTTTTGTCCTTTTTGAGACCGGCCGCACTGCGCTCAGCCAGTGAGCTCTGTGCGCGCCAGTCATCCCTATATAGGATCCGAACCCGCGGCGGGAGCGCTGCTGCTCTCCCAGCGCCGCACTCTCCCGAGTGCGCCACGGGCTCGGCCCGAGATCTGAGCTCTTGACCTTGGTGTTATAACATTACACTCTAACCAACTGATTTATCCTTCTAGCCTTCACATTGTTCATTTTCAATGAACTTTTCTTATGTTATTGATACACTACCCTACCATCTCACTAAAATTACACATCAGTGTTGTTTAATTTTTTCAGCATTATCTCCTTTTTTCTGTGTTTTGTTTGTTTCCCAGGGGACTACTTCCTTAGCTTGCTCTAGATTTCTAATTCTTAGAGAAGCTTCCCCCCCCCCATTGTCAACTTGAATTAATAAATTAAAGTCTAAATTGTTGTGATTTGGTGTTTAGTTGAATGCTTCATCTGTAATTGTGAAAGTCACTTTTTATTATTTTCCTTTGATACAACTCCCCCAAAATATGGTGTAGCAACTACTAGGTTAATTTCTTCCCCCACCCCTGCTACTGTTGTGGACATGGTTGATCCAGCAGTAGAGTTATGAGAGGGGGGGGGGTTGATAAGACCTCCTGTGTATCTGTTGTGGCTGGGGGTTCTCCATGGACTTTACCATTTTAGTAATGTTTGGGGAATGGGTTCTTCTGGATGCGGCAGGGAGGAAGTAGGTACACAGAGCCCTTCTATACTGAATGTAACAGTCGAATTAGCAGGCAGGTTAGCACAATCTTGCATTATTCTCATCTTGAACAGCTTCAGGTCTATGGGTGGCTTCCCTGTCTAGTGGCTGAAAAGAAGTTGTCCTTTTATTTTGGTTGAGTTAGCTGTAGCAAGCACTGATGTACCACACACATTCTCCTTCAGTGAAAGACTTATTTCCCTAGTGCTGGGAGCACTGTTGGTAGATAGCCGTCAGCTAATAGCCTCTTTAAAGATTGCTTCAGCTGCAGAGAGCCACCTTGCTCACGGTCTTGCCCCTTCCCAGTATGGCCCGTATTCCAATAACTGACTGATATGGAAGTGCAAAGGCACTTCAAAAAGTTTGTGGAAAATAGAATTGAAAGATAATATGAATCTTCTCATGAACTTTTGAAATCCCATTATATAAAGGTTCGATCATCTTGGGCCAATTTGATACTGTTCTGAAGGATGATTTTAGCTCCAGAGCTTCCTAATGGCTTTGGGCAAAGATATCCTTGGGCTGCATCACAGTGTGACTTTTTCCTCTGTGGACTCCTGCTTCCTTCGCCTCACTTCCACGGGTGTTGATCTTAAGGGCACTTCTTATATCCTGCACTCTAAACTCCATCTCAGAGCCTACTTCCTAGGTAACTCAGGCTATACCATTAGCTCAGAAGAAAAATAGGAGATTTAAGGCATCAGTTATGTATACTTGGGTTACTGTTTTATTCTTATATCTATTATGAATGTTTTAGTCTTTGATTTACTAAAGTAGAGCATAAGAATTGCTAATCAAAATCAGAAGATTATGTCTACCGAACTTTTACTTGAATTCTAGAGAGGTGTGGTTCAGCCAGAATGAAAGTTCTATTAAAATCATCATTTCAGGGCCGGCCCGGTGGCGCACTGCTACAGTGCGCCGCTTGGGAAGCGTGGCGGCGCTCCCGCCGAGGGTTCGGATCCCACATACAGACCGGTTCCCGCTCACTGGCTGAGCGAGGGGCGGGCGCAGCACTGAGGGTTGCGATCCCGTTGCCGGTCCCGGTCCGGGATGGGTGCGACACTGAGGGTTGCGATCCGTTGCCGGACACGAAAAAAGACAAAAAGGAAAAAAAAAATCATCATTTCAAAGTGTATTCCCAAAAGTTAAGGATATAGATTCACTCTGATTACCTACTTTGATGACATTGCAATTACTGTTTTCTACCAACAGAAGCCATGGTATTTCAGAAAATGTAGCCAATACATGCTCAGTCCCTCTTAGTGCTTCCTCTCCCAAAAACCATACTGTCCTAACAATTGTTTGCAGTTATTCAGTTAACTTGTCTTTGTTATATAATATTCAATCCACAGCTGTCCTTTCAAAATTATATCATCATTACTATTACTTTAATTTGGAAAAACTTTTCAAGACTGATCTTTATTTCTCTCAAAATCTGATTTACGGTCTTTTTGTCCTTTTGTAACTAAATAGTTGAATGTAAGGCAAATAGAAGAAAGGACTATGTGAAGTGCATAGTATTTTTAACCTTTTCTAAAACATCTTTTTCAGCATACTCATGTACCCAGACTTATACCTTTAATAACAAGCAATTGCACATCAAAATCAGTTCCTGTGAGGAGGTAAGTTTTGGAAAAAATATTTGTTTTACTATTTTCCTTTGCACTAGGCGTTGTTATTGCATTATGTTTAAATTTTAGTCTGGTACAAAAATTGGTTATTAATTTCTTGCCTTCCAAAAACTGTAATAAAAAATTTTAAGCATATCTCATGTAAAGGAAAAGGGATGAAGCAATTATTACGACCACTCACCTCTCTCAGTTTTATGATATTAAGCTTTGGTTTATTTCATCTGCTGGTTGCCTTGGTTTTCAGAAAACATGGAGTCTTGAGTCAGGCCCGGGCTAGAGTACTACAGTTGCCACTGACCGACTATCCTACCTCCGGCAATTATTTTACTGCTGTGAACCTCAGTGTCTATATATGTTCGTAGGGCTAATGATGTAGACCCTATAGAGTGTCATCCCCTGTAGAGGATTAAATGTAATAGACATTAGTAGGACTTAACCTAGTGTTTGGAACAGTGTAAATAGCCATCTTAAGACTATTGGTCAGTTCTCTCTCTCTCTTTCTTTTTCTCTTTCTCTTTCTCTCTCAAAAATTGATTTCTGCCATTTTTAACTCACCACTATCACCATCAATAATAAAGACAGGAAAAACAAGATTTGTGCATTTGATGTTTAAGAAAATTATAAAGAACTCTCTCCCTTTTATAATTTGATAAATATATTTATTTAAATACTTTGAATGTTAGGAAGAAGCAGAATAAGACATTATTATTTCCTTCAAGTGGTTCAAAATTTTGGCAACAGTTGTCCAGTTATCTCTCTCTTACGTCAGGGTTGAGCAAGCAACAGCCCACAGGTCAAATCTGGCCAACAGTCTAGTTTTGTACAGCCCACAAGCTTAGCATTTTTTAAGTGTTTTTTAACGGTGGTTAAATGAGGGGGGTGGGGAGAATATGAGACAGAGACTGTATGTGGTCTGCAGAGCTTAAAATATGTACTTACTGGCCCTTTACAGAAAAAGTTTACCAACCCATGTTTTACATTGAAGAATATGGTAATTAGAAAAATAGGAATGTGACAGAGAATAGGGAATCGGGGAATGTATCATAAAATTGCCTTGAAAATGGACAGCAATCCACTAACAGTTGGGGAAGTGAGTGGGGTACATCCTAACCAAATATGTAAAGCTATGCCACATGCTGCAGAGCCACCAGATAGGCCACTGGGTCCAGAACACATGATAAATGGAAGGTGTCAGTGGCAAAAGAGGCTGGTTGGGGGATGAGTAGGTTGATGTGATAGTTGAGAGCCTTGACTGTCATGATGAAGAATTTTGACATTATTCTGTAGGTAGCAGGAATCTTTGACAGGTGTAGATTTTTGGTAAGGAGGTAATGTCATCCATCCTAATTTTTATTCCAGCTATGAACAGTGATTGAAAAGGTATAATGAGAAGCATTAGTTTATTTAAATAGTTGTTGTAATTAATATAAGAGAGAAGCAGGGTCTGAGGTAGAGCTGTATTGATGCTAACTGAAGGAGATTTTATTTAATAAATAAATTTAAGATTTATTTCATGTGTAGAAATGAGACTTGAAGGGTCTGGCTGGTTAGCTCAGTTGGTTAGAGTGTGGTACTGATAACACCAAGATCCAGGGTTCCATTCCTGTGCCAACCAGCCGCCAAAAAAAAGATGAGATGTGATAATTGGGTATGAATGAGGAAGTAGTGTCAAGTGCTACAGACTGAATTCTGGAGTCATAATGCCAGGGTTCAAGCTCTATCATGTTAGACAAGTTAATTTAACCTCCCTATTCTTCATTTCCTAATCTGTATGTGGCTACAAGAGTGGGTTTGAGAGGGTAAGAGTTAATTTATTCTTTTGTATGTAGTGTTTCTGTTGACATTCACTGCCTATGTGGAGTCTGGTTGGAACTTTGACTTAACAGCTGAGGTGAAGAACCAATGCTGGAGATATAGGACTAGATGTGAGAATTATATCTGATGGTCAGAGCTAAGGGAACAGAGGATGTTGCCCAAATAAAAAGACTATAAAAGAGAGGTGGGCTAAGATTTGCACCAACCAGGTGAGTATCTGTTTAAGGATAGGTGAAGAAGAAGTGTGAATAAAGGACGAAAAACAGGACAGAGCTGAGTCATCAGATGCCGAGGAAGAAGAGGAGCTCTAAAATGAGACAGTTGAAGAAGTTGAGAACTAGAGGGCTTAGGAGAAAATGTATGCAAACTTGATTCAAAATCATGTACGTACATATTTAAGAAATGAATGATCAAGGTTGTCATGTCTTTCTTGGTCACCAGTGTATATCTTTAATGTCTAGTGCATAGTAGACATTTGATAAATATTTTTTTAAATTAACAAATGAAATTTGTTAAATTTTATATTTGACAAGCATTTTAAGTTAAAATTGTGGGGAAATCTTAAGGTCTTTTTGAACTATTTAGTATAGAAATAGTTGTATCCTTAAGGTAAATTAGATACCACAGTTAAGGTATCTAAAAACATGTCTTATGCTATAATTCAGGGGACAAAGTGTAGTATTATAAAAGAAAGTGTTAATGTATTTCCCAATACAACATTTAGTTATTACTTAACTCTTATTTTTCAGGCGTTCATTTGAATTTTTAGATTTGTTGTTACAAGAGTGGCAGACACATTCACTTGAACGGTATGCACTGCCTTTTCCTCCCTTCTTCCTCTGCCACCTACCTTTCCTCATTGTTACCAGTTCCTTAGAAGTTTATGGTATTCATTTTGCATTATTTCTCATTTTGCTTTAAAGGTTATTTGTACTGATTTTCCTTTAAAGCTGTGGTGTTGTGCTCTTCTTACTCATTGCAGCTATGAATAGTATGATTTTTGGGGTGGGGCAGGTGAGTTGTCTCTTAAGCAGAATAGGTTATATAAGAAAGTCCTAATTTGAATTGGGCAAAAATTTAAAAATGTGTATTTACTCACGTGAGATAGGTTTCCTGTAGTGCAATCAATCCTGTAATGAATTATTTAAAATATAGAGAGGGAAGAACCTTCCTTTCCTTTTCAGAGGAAAAAGATTTAAAAGTATTTATGGGGAAGTATCTCCATACCAGTTGTCAGAGGTCATTGGTAAGGTGTATGCTGAGCAGTGTCTAATGTAACTCTGAGATGAACAAGAAGAAAAGGTGGGCAACTAGTGGTCACTGGCTGTATGCATGACTGTGTTTCTCATTAGTTTCCATTTTGAAGCATGGGAGATAAGAGATACCTGCATTTATCTTGAGTATGTTGTTGATTTTTCATTTTTATGGAAATCTTTAAATCTGTGCACACCTCATTTTTTAAAAATAGAATATGTTTAATGTAGGCATGATGTAATTCCAAGTTTTCTTTAAGTTCTTTTTTGGCAGCTGCTATTCAATTTGATCAGATCATAACCAATCATACTTTTAGCAAATGATTTTCTACAATAGTGGGTTAGTGAAAAACCACACAGAAGGTTGTTTTTTCTCTAATTTATTAAAAATTTTGAATTTGGGTACTAAATATTTGTACAGTATCTGGATTTCATATAAAAATAAGTATTTTCAGATTTACGGTGATTGGATTGTCGGAAGGAAACCATACATGAATGAAATATATGGGGCATATTGTGCACTAATTAATTTTTTACCTTGCCTACCCTTTTGTGATTAATGTGTAACATATAGGCAGTAAGTTCATTTGTAGTGAAATATACAACTTTAATACATGAATCTAAAGATGTTTTTATTTTATAGACATGCAGCTGTCTTGGTTGAAACAATTAAAAAGGGAATTCATGATGCGGATGCTGAGGCCAGAGTGGAGGCAAGAAAGTAAGTCAGTAGTGTTTTTTTTGTGACATTTTAAACATACTTCAGTACTTTTCTTTTTTAAGTAATTGTAGTGGGAGAATGAAAATATCAGAGGTGTCTCAAGGATTCTACTTGACTAGTTCTTCAGTAAACTTGAGATTGGTTTTCTCCATTAAATCTGTTCTAGATGTCTAACAGCCTGCTTCAAATTGTCATTTGTGTAATCGTCAGTATTCCCATTCCATCCTAACCTGTCATTTATTCAGCATGTATTGTATACCTGATACCGTGCAAGACACTTGATCTGTGTTATTTTCTAATCCTTAAAATGATCCTGCAAAGGTGGCATTATCTCCATAGATGGCAACTGAACTTTGGAGTTTTGGGGGTTACCCAAGGCTACATAATCATAAATGGCACAATGAGCTTTTTTTTTAATTTTGTTTTGTTGATATACAATGCGGTTGATTATTGTGGCCCATTACTGAAACCTCCCTCCCTCCTCCCTCTCGCCCCTCCCACCCAACAATATCCTTTCTGTATGCTTGTCGTGTCAACTTCAACGAATTGTAATTGTTATGTCTTCTTCTCCCCCCCCCCCCGGGTTTGTGTGTGTGTGTTTTTTTTTTTTTTTTTTTNTGATTGCTCTGGCTAGTACTTCCAACACTACGTTGAATAGGAGTGGTGAGAGTGGGCATCCCTGTCTAGTTCTGGTTTTTAAAGGAAAAGCTTTCAGCTTTCCCCATTCAGGATGATATTGGCAGTGGGTTTTTTCATATATGGCTTTAATTATGTTGAGATACTTTCCACCTATACCTGACTTATAGAGGGTCTTTGTCATGAATGAATGTTGAATTTTATCAAATGCTTTTTCAGCATCTATGGAGGTGATCATATGGTCCTTGTGTTTGATTTTATTAATATGGTGTATCACATTTATTGATTTGCGTATGTTGAATCTACCTTGCATCCCTGGGATGAATCCCACTTGATCGTGGTGAATAATTTTGTGTATGTGTTGTTGTATTCTGTTTGCTAGTATTTTAGTGAGGATTTTTGTATCTATATTCATCAAGGATATCTGCCTGTAGTATTCTTTTTGGTTATATCTTTACCTGGTTTTGGTATCAGGATGATGTTTGCTTCATAGAATGAGTTTGGGAGATTTGTGTCTGTTTCAATCTTTTGGAATAGTTTGTAAAGAATCGGTGTCAATTCCTCTTTGAATGTTTGGTACAATTCTCCTGTGAATCCATCCGGTCCTGGGCTTTTCTTTGTTGGGAGC